AATGAGCTGGTGAAAATATGACCAAATGAATAAATCAGGAGCCCAGTTTAACTGGGTCTCTATCCAGTTGGAACAGGGAGCTGGGGACAGAGGTTTGAAATCCCTGCTGTGAAAAGCGAGGAGGTAGGAAGGTTTAAACCTAACCAACCATACAACTAACAGAGAGGAGAGAGAACTGGGTCTTACCACAGACAGGTCACCAGCCTCTGCTTCAGTTGTTCCTCTACAGGCATCATTAAACAAGTTCAAGGGTGGAACAAAAAAATATTATCTGAAGATAATATGAAGTGACATCTTTAGAAATGTGGAGATCTTGAACTTAAAGTCTTGTAGAACGTGGGACAGTATCAAGGAAAAAAACAGGTAGGTTAAAGAAAGAAGGGTACTTTGGAAAGGCGAGAGAACAAATGCTATGAACTGTACTTGATGAGACTATTTAACTGCACTACTCAAATATGGGGTTTAACTGCACAGGTTGCTCAGAAACAGTGAACTGCAAAGAGCCTCCTGCACAACGTATGAAGGGGTCTTTTCTCTCTGCATTGCTAAACTCTCAGTTTGAATACCTTCTCCAGCAATGAAATATTTCATATTAGACGTTGTAGGAATGTTCAGAGAACATTCCATATGATAAACTGAAATACTAGGTCTGTTTACTGTAAAGAAAAGGCTTGAAGAAAACTGAACAGCAACTTTCAAATTTGTTAAAAGCTGCTACAAAGACGAACTGAATAAATGATTCCTTGTGTCTCCTGTGGGTAAAACAAGAAATAACTGGCTTAAACTGAGGCAAGGAAGATTTAGTATGGATATTTGGAAAAAAGCTTACTAACAACAAGGGAAGTTTAGGAGTGCTGTCAATGTCCCTGTGTCAGCTGAATCTGCAGATTCAGAGATGAGTAACTGTAGTGACAGCTCAGGCAGGCGTCATAGTTTAGGCTTTGCAGTGGTGTGGTTAAGAACATGACATACTCGCAGACCTGGTTTCGGTCACACCACGAGCTGCTCTGAACACCTGTGCGTCACCTCTTCGCTATCATAATGCTTGAAACCAAACCATATTCAAAATGGAAACATTAATTTATTGCTCCCAGTTTACATAGTCACTGCATGTCAGGAAGTGAAAGAAACATCTTTAAAACTTCCCCCATCCTTGCCAGTGTTCCAGTTTCAAAGAACAATTTCATATTGCTTGAAAAGTGTCAGTACTTGTACCTTTTTCAAGTCTGCCTCTATATTTTATCTGCCTCCTCATAGGACAGAAATGAGACTAAGCAAACATTTAAATTAAGTTTGATATAATGATGTTTCTTTTAAATTTTACTATTTAATTAGAACGTAAGTACATGTTATTTGCACAAGATAACATTTACACATTATTCTTTGATCATATAGCTCAATATTTTTTATGAATTTATGTTTTCCCTGAAAGTAGATTTTTTTTTCCACTATTGTAAACACAAGGATTTGATGCTTCACCTGGTGAGACATGTGACTTTGCCAAGCTTGCTAACCCCTACACAAAATTACAATACACACAAGGTAACAGACTTGGAGAAAGTAAAAACATACCTGCTCCATGTCACAAGGCCTGTATTGATTTTGTCAGGTAGCCAAAGTGCTACAGCACTTCTGTACTCAATATCTATTAGGTTATCAGTGCTGGAGAAAGTGCAGGAGGAGCAATGTGCTTCCTCACTGTTACAGTCCAACACCCAGAGCTAGGGACACAGTCTCAGAGGCAGGCGTGAGGATTCCTCCACTGCCCAGTACATCCCACACACAGCCTGCCACAGGCACAACGGACACCTCTAAGAATAAACCTGAATGTGGGCAGCCAAGAGGAGGAGATGTTCTGTCAGGCTTTGGGATTGTTAGAAACAGAGAAATAGAAACTTTTTGAATAAACTGCCACACTTTGCAATATTATAAATTCAGAGAATAACCTCTTGGAGTCCAAGCTAGACATTGAGAAAAGCAAATAAGACATTCTAAAATAACTTCTTACTAGTGTGAAATATAACCATGAAAAGAAAAATGGGAAAGACTAAAAAGTGAATATTTGATTATCTTTCTTCGAAAGTTGGATAGAGAAATACAGGTTAGGTATAATTGCTTCATGATTTAGCTGAAGCATAGAACACTGAAAAGCTACTAGAAAAATAGATCAAATGAGAAAACCACAATCCAAAACAGGTTTACTCAACATGTTATTTCCATCTCTTCATGAAAAAAGCTGCTGAGATTCTATGTTATTTTTAAGTGAGGTTACCAGCTTGAGAAGTGGGCACAATAAGATAAAACCACATCTTGAAGGCATTTGTTCTCATGCACTACTTACATGGACTCAAACAGCTGCATATAGTGTTCATCCCCTCGTCCTCCTTCCACCTCATGGTCCAACTTCAGAATGATTTCATTTTCAAACTAAGAAAGAAAGAAACACAGAGCAGATACACAGAGGTCAAACACATTTCAAGATGGCATCCAAAGAATATCTGTGGATTGTTTGTTGCATCACATGCTCCCAAGGGTTAAATGCTTGAGTGCATTCCAGTTGAATAATGCACACCTGGCTATCTCCAGATACCTGTTCCTTAGTACAAGCTGATAAAATAACATGAGGGTATACATGCATATGATTCGTTTGGGGTCCCCCCATTTTCTAAGCGCCTAAAAGCATTGATTTGTGTGTTTGAAAAATGTCCTCAAGTAGTTGATATTTAGTATCAGACTTGTAACAAAAATACAAAAGATAATTTGTTTTCTTTGGGGTTTTTGTGTTGTGTTCCACACACACCACCACCCCCAATTTAAAATGATTTTATGATAGTATTTTCAAGAGGTGTGAAAGATCACAGATTGATAGAATGGTTTGGTTTGGAAGGGACCTTAAAGATCACCAGCACATTCAAAGATGACTGACTAGGAAAGTAATGTTCATGAAAACATGAATAACACTGGTTTAAAAGGACACAGAATGGTTTAAATAGCCTGCTGCCTGGATGAAGGCAAAATCTGAGAACATATGGTGCTGTTTATTATCACTGAGATGCCTAAGTATAAAAAGTCATTGCTGAATGTGAATTTGAAAACCTCTACAGTATGCATGTGAGAAACATTAACAGCAGAACAGAACTCCAGAACTGAGCAGCATTAGTCCAGTATTCCAACAGAAGCTGGCAGCATGCGTTTCATCTCTGGGGACACTGAATAGGCTCTACACTGCTCCTCAAAGTACCTAATGGCTTCAGATCTTGGAGTCTCCATTGAGAACTACTTCCCATAATGTTCTCAGAGAAAACTAGAAATTGTTTAGTAGAAACAGCAACCCCATTTTCTGATTTGAGTAGAAGGAAAGGACATTGGTACTATTTCTTAATTCTGTTTTCTATAGGAGTGTCAAATAAGAGGGAACATTATTTTTTCCTTAGAGGCTGCAAAGAATTTTGGTTGGTTAGGGGCACCAGTACTCTGTGATCCAAAACAATTCTTTGTCCTGTAACTTGCAGGTTTTGCTGCTCTAATATTAGCTCTTTCTCTGTAATTAGAATAAAAATTAAAGATTGCCAGTGGAACAGTACATACTATACGAATACTAGAGAATAAAGTGCTATCATTGACATACAGAGAAACAGGGGGAAATAAAATTACTCTGGCTTCTTTGGGCTGCAAAAGACATTTAAGGGACTCAGAGTTACTTTCTATGTGCAATTACTATGTGTATTAGTCTATAGATGTTACACGGGTAATACAGTCACATGGCAGTTTCAGGACAAGGCAGTATTAAGGAAAACCACCCAATCTAGTAATTTTCTAGAGCTTTTTTTGTGGACTTACTGTGGTAAGACAGAAATCTGTGAATATAGTGCAAATCAAGCACCAGTTAAAAACCATCCACTTCTTAAATCCTTCCTAGCACTTATTCAGCAGGTAGAGAATTGATTACTTCACTAAGAGGCAATCATTTCACAGATGCTGGATCAGGACAAAAAAACTCTTCCTAAGCATCTTTCCTGCAGTTTCTCAACAAGCTGCAGAAAAGCCAGTTGCTTGAATCAAAACAGATAAAATAGCTGGCAGAAATATAGAATAAAGTTGTGGTCATTTAAGCCCAGCCAGTAACACAGCACCAGCAGCTGCTCACTCACCCCTCAAGCAGGATAGGGAGGAGAATGGAAAGAATGTAAACCCCAGGGATGGAGAAAAGAACAGTCCAATAACAACAGTATAATACAAAACTACTACTTCTACTACAAATAATAATAACAACAAGGGGAGGGAATATAAAACTAAAAGGGAAAAGGGAAAAAAAACCACTAATAACCAGCAGTGATGCCTAATAAAATTGCTCACCACCCGTCGACCAATACCCAGCCCGACCTGAGCAGCGATCTGGGCCTTCCGGGTAACTCCCCCCAGTTTCTGTACTGGGCATGACGTGCTGTGGTAAGGAATAGCCCTTGGGCCAGTTTGGGTCAGGTGTCCTGTCTCTTCTTCCTCCCGGCTTCCTGTGCCCCTCCTCACTGTCAGCATGAGAGACTGAATAGTCCTTGATCAGGGTGCTACTGAGCAACAACTAAAACACTGGTGTGTTATCAGCATTGTTCTAAGACTAAAGCCAAAACACAGACTGCACCAGCTACTAGGAAAGAGAGAAAAATAACTGTTACAGCTGAAACCTGGACAAAAGGTTTAATGTGTCTGTGCCAAAATTAAGCCCTGGAAAGGGTATTTCTCCTCTCACTTGAACAGAGTATGCCTAATAGTCACTGGCAAAAATTTGACTTTAAAATACCTGCTTGTCTATCTAATAGATCCCAGAAATCTCTACATCTCTGAATGCACTTCACTACCAAACCATAAAACATACCAGTTTTTTCTACATGGATTTGTCCAAAGCACCAAGCAATACAAATCTGGTGTCTGCTAATGGATCAATCCCACATCCTTCTGAAATCCTTTCCATAATAAAATTTCAAGAACTGAGAGTAAGAAATATGAGTGTTTACAGCAATTACAAATCATATGCACCAGAGGAGCTTGCTGAGAACATCTTTGTTCACTCATTTAGTAACCTTTGACAGCTGCTAGCTCAGAAAGATGCAGGGCTCCAACAGGTTCACTATGAATAAACATCTATCGTGTATCAGTAAGTCTGCAAGCCCAAGAACACACCATCAGGCAGTACTATTTTCTGGCACAATCCAATGACAGTAGAAAGCCAACAGAACCTCCACAGATGGCTTCAGGAACTGGTGGAGCCAGTGAGAGAGACTATATTGAAAATACCAGGCACAAACAGAAGGACTTATTTGAACAAGAATATAAACACAGATGAATTACTCTTTCCTAAGCCAATTTAAATCCATAACATAACTTGGATCAATGTTTTTTAAATGATATTTTCATTTGCACTGCAAAAAGCCATTTTTTAAATTTTATTTTCTTTTTTAAGTAAGTCTTTTCTAGCTTCTGGCCTCACATGATGAGGTAGAACAAACAGTATGAGGTTGCTTCATGATGTGTCTTGTATTGGAAGGTCTTAATAAAATACACAAGCTGATCTTGCAAGGAAAGATGGGTTATCAACATTTCAGGATGGGATTCTTTCAACATGTGCCCAACTCACAGGCAACTACATTCCCTTTATACACCTACGTGTATATCTGTCCTGGGTTCAGCTACAGCAGTCATTTTTTCTCCTTCTTAGTAGCTGGTGCAGTGCTGTGGTTTTGACGTTCAGTCTGGGAACAACGCTGATAACACCGATGTTTTTAGTTGTTGCTCAGTAATGTTTACTCTGACCAAGGACTTTCTCAGTCTCATGCTTTGCCAGAGAGGAGGGGAAGCCAGGAGGAAGCAGAGGCAGGACACCTGACCCAAACTGGCCAAAGGGGTATTCCATACCACAGCACGTCATGCCCAGTATATAAACTGGGGGGAGTTACCCGGAAGGCCCAGATCACTGCTCGGGTCGGGCTGGGTATCGGTCGGCGGGTGGTGAGCGGTTGTGTCCTTTTCCCTTGTTATTCCTCTTATCATTATTATTGGTAGCAGTAGTGGTTTGTATTATACCTTAGTTACTGGAGAGCTGTTATCTCAACCCGTGGGAGTTACATTCCTTCGATTCTCCTCCCCATCCCTCCGGGAGCGGGGGGAGGAAGGAAAAGGGGGGGAGTGAGCGAGCGGCTGCGTGGTTCCAAGTTGCCGGCTGGGCTTAAACCACGACAATATCCTATTCCACTAACTGTGTATGTATAGTAGGTCATTCTGAGATAGCCAGAGGTGGAATTGTGTTTTCTCTGGGATTAGTTGATTTCCTAGAAAGAGCTAAATAAAATCAAATT